CGATCTATTTCATGAAACACATTTCAAGCAACAAAAATGTTTCACGCGCATGAATCACACTTGTTTCATTGGTGGGCGGACTTGTATTTATTTGTTCTTATTCTATTTCCATGAAACGTGTTTCACGTCTTAGGCAGGCCGCACATCAAAGAAACATGAAACGTGAAACATCAAACATGAAACGTAAAACATGAAACAATAAATTACGAAAAGCGAAACCGTTTCTTTGTTGCATACTAATTGAAGAAACAAGAATAATGTTTTTAAAGTCTTTTAGTAGTGTAGTGGGGTATAGAAGGTAGCACACAATGGAAAGGGTTGACGAGCAACAACAACTGCTGTTATGGCAACTTTTCTATTATCGTCAAAAAGCCAAAAAAATAAAGGAAACGACGTTACTGGGTAAATCCGTACAGTACTTTTCACTGTTAGGCAACATTTTGGCAGGCTTTTTCTTATGATTGTCTATTCGAGTACTTCTCCATGTTATACTTATACAATTCTCCATCTTGCTCTACCACTAAAACGAACACAATATTGAATTCTTCGTAATTAATTTTTTTATGACCAAAAACCGTGAAACTGAAACGGAAAAATAGAACGCGATCTATTTCATGAAACACGTTTCAAGTAATAAAAATGTTTCTCGCGCATGAAACAAACTCGTTTCATTGGTGGGCGGACTTGTATTTGTTTGTTCTTGTTCTATTTTCATGAAACGAGTTTCACGTTTTATGTTTCATGTTTCACGTTTCATGTTTCTTTGGTGTGCGGCCTCCCTTATGTTTCATATTTCACGTTTCATGTTTCTTTGATGTGCGGCCTCGCCGAGAGTACTGGTTAAATATTCTAGCCGGAGAGCCAGCGCCGAAAAAATTCTCTGAATTTACTAAAGCCAGTTTTTGGTCAGTTGATTACAGTATTTACGTACATAAACATACCTCGGTCAGTCAAGCGACACTTAGGACAAGGACCTTGGGTGTCTGGTTAAAGTTGTCGAGATAGCTAGGTAATGCAACGAATTTACTAAGGCTGGAAATCGCTATACATATTATATATAGCATATAAATAACAGTGATGTTTGTCCGTCAGTTGAATAGCGGAACTGGGCCGGTCATTCAGCCCCATTGAGGTAGTTCAGCCCCAATTTATGTAAAAAAAATAATAGGTCTATTTTTTTTTAGAGTGACAGCGTGACAGTGACAATTCAAAATTGTAGGTTGAAGTTTAAATTAATAGGTTTGTTCAGTAATATTAATATTTTTTTGCAGATTTTTACATTTATTGGGGCTGACTGACCAGCACGGTCCCGCTATTCAACTGACTGACTAACACTACTGTTATTTATATGTTATATATAATATGTATAACGATTTTTCAGCTTTAGTAAATTCGTTGCATTACCCAAGTTATCTCGACACCTTTAACAAGACACCCTGGGCCCTTGTCCCAAGTTTCGCTTGACTGACCGCGGTATGTTTATGTACCTACGTAAATACTGTAATCAACTGTCCAAAAACTAGCTTTAGTAAATTCAGAGATTTTTTTCGGCGCTGGCTCTTAGACTATTCAAGGGCAGTGGCGTAACTAATGGCCCGCAGGGCCCGCAGTTGCGGGGGGGCACCGTGACTTAGGGGCCCCGCAGGGCCCCAGACCAGGCGATAAGAAGGTACTAAACTGGCGACAAGAATATCACTAAACTAAAAGAAAATACTTGAACTTAACCTTTGAACCTCATAATATATAAAAACCATTGAAAAAGTATGTCTAACCAATGTAAGAGATCTCAGAGAGAAATGTTTAGATACATACGCGCCGGAACCATGGGGGCATTGGGGCTTGAGCCCCCGTTGTGAAATTGCAATGGGGGCGGAGCCCCTATAGTGATTTTGGCATTGTATGTAGTGGGTGTAGTGAGTAGGTACAAAAATATTGAGTTCCTGATCGTAACAGTCCTAACTATTTATTTTCATATCAAACTTGTGTGTTTTATGTTTTTGTTGTTTTTGCTATAACCACTTTGACAAACAGTTTGACAGATACCCATTACCCAACATAACGGATCTCTTGAAGAAGCTGGGACACTGGCAGTATTTCACTGCCTTAGATTTAGCTAGCGGCTTCCACCAGATCTAGACAACGACATCGGAAAAACCGCATTCAGCACAGAAAACGGGCATTAAAAGTTCTTGCGCATGCCCTTTGGTTTGAAGAACGCGCCGGTTACATTCCAAAGAGTTATGGATGATATTCTATATTCCAATATATTGAGCAACTTTAGCACCAAAAGATGGAACATCCCATCAATAATAGTTATTCATTATACAATGGAAAAAAGTATTAGATTTTAGAGCGAGATGTGGTCTGCCTCCCGTAGCGAAGCGGAGGGAGACAACAACAAGGTGGCTAAAAAGCACTGGGAATGCTGGAGGTGGAACAGGCGAAATCGTTATCTTTCGTTCTCTATTCAACCTTAAAGTTTTTCTAGACATTTCATTCTATTGCATTAAAATTGGCCTGTTGTTGACCTGTCAAACCTGTATATAGGTAGTTCATTTTTTGGCCATATGCCATTAGCTTATTTATAAGTTTGCTTCGAGCGGTGTGGAGATGACAATGGATGGTATGAATAAAAACGAAGTACGTGCTACTACTACAAGTATTAGTAGGTATATGCTTCGCAGTATTTACTTCAGACAGAAGCATTTACTAATTTCCGGTAGTTTCGAAATGTAGTATCTACTTCGTTTTGAAGTAAATACTACGTAGAACATACTAATACTTGTAGTAGTAGCAAGTACTTCGTTTTTATTCATACCACACAATGACACCATTATGTAGAAAAGAAAGAATCTTGAATCTTTTGTACGAACACTTTTTTCTAAAGTTAGTAGATTTTGAAATATTCATTAAATAAGTTTAAATTTTTTTTACATTTTCCCATATATCTCGGAAACGAATGAATAAAAACTTGGCAACCCTGTGTACTTACCTTCAATGGATACTAAAATCTGCCACTTTTATCTAATTTAACCTACTTCGTCCCTCTTACCGGTTCGGAGATAGCAATAGTGGTATCTAGGGTTGCCAGACCTCCTATTTTTAATATGAGACTCATATATTTCAACTGTTTCTCATATCTCATATTGGCATGTTTAATATGAGACTGTTTCTCATATATTTTCATCAAAAAGTAAACAAAACAATAAACCAATTCTTAATTTGCGTTTTAAGCTTACACTGGTCGATAATGGATCTTCAAATTCAAACATGGCGTCGAGTTAATGTTGCCGCTTCTAAAGGTAATAAATACAAATAAAAGAAAAACAAAAACAAAGCGATTTTGGAAACCATTAATATATGTGCAACATTTTGGTGAATTTAGCCACACGCGGAATATCGTTCGGCATCCTTCGTAGCTTCGGCTGTCTGCTCCCCAAACTCTTTTGTTGTCCCAAGTCCCAAACTTGTTACAATAAATAAGACTGACGGATCAGGAGGAGTATCTAACTACCTAAAAGAATGTCCAGCAATACATCCCAAAATCTGCTAAAAATCATAGCTAATTTTCAAGATGGGAGCTTTTTTGGATTTGGGAATTTTGCAGTACATAAAATATTCTCATATATTATTATCCAATCTCATATAATTTTATACAGGATCTCCTATTTTCAAAATTCAAGTATCTGGCCCCCTAGTGGTATCACTTAAAACGGGCACCCTGTATAAAGCAAAATTAGAAAGAGAAAAACAATACATAAAAGATGGGGCCCCGGGAAAATCCTTGCGGGGGGGCCCCGGATTTGAAGTTACGCCACTGTTCAAGGGTGGTACCTACTCACACAATAATAATTGGTAATTTAACTAGAATGAGTAGTAGGTGAAAATAGTTGAGAATGAACCAAATACTTTGTCACCCATTGACCAGCAACATTAATAGGCTCTCCAACCAGCAGTCACCAATCGTGAGCGAAAAAGTCCTCATACGCCTCCGTAGAGACAAGGCCTTGAGTTTAGATAGGATCAATATGATATTAGTCCATAATGTCAGGAATGACAAATTAGGTGAGTCAGTTAAGAATAGATGATAAGAAAACTGATTCATGTATGAATAAGAAAGGAAGCGATAATATTTTATATTTTTTGAAAAAGTCTTGGCAATGGGTTCTCTTCTTCAATCTTAGGAAATATCGAATTGATCTTTTCTGCAACTTGGCTCAACACATACCCCAGAATGGAAGGGCGTATTGAAGTTGTTCGACAACCCATAATTTACTAGTGAACAAGTCGTTGGACATGGTTCTATGAAAAGCCACACAATATCTGGGATGCTCCAAGTGCAACTAGTATGATCAACAAAGAGACAGATTTTATCGCTGATGTCTAGACTAGCAATGATGTTGATGAACAATTAAAATAATGTAAGACCCAACGCCGAACCTTGAACTGGAACACCCACATAATTTGTAATTCCTAACATTATGGGCTAATATCATATTGATCGTACAATAAAGCCTTATCAAAGTAAACTTCCGACTGAGATAATAGAAAATCATTACCCGTAAGTAGGTACTTTTTCAAAAATGAAAAGGTATTGTTTTTTTTTTGGTGTGATCAGAAGTTTTACATTGGATCTCTTGCATTTAGGTTTGTTCAAAATTTTAGTTGCCCACTTCAAGAAACAATCATATCAGATCCCTTGTAAGTTAACCAAATAACATCATCTTGAATTTCTAATTTTCATACAAACTTGCCATCACCGGATGTTGGGCAAGCACAATCAGCTCTCCTCTAGTTGATTAGTGATTGTTTACTTTTCCTATTATTTGATAAGTATAACATTATTACCTACCCATGTATTATTAATAATACATAATATATTACATGATTTCTTTGTTTTTGATAAATTTCTTCGAATTGTTGATTTATGATTATATAGGAGGTCTAGTAAATAAAATGTGACTAATATATATATGCATTAAGAAATAAAACAACAATAATTTTTGAAAACGATGCAAATATTTATTGTAAATATAATTAGGATACAGTAAACGGTAATATGAAAATATATTGATATTTTCTTCGATAATGGGTGAATATCATCTGCCGGACCATTTTGACAGGATATTTTCTAGCTAAGAATTAATATGGACCGACACTATTGGTTCAAATTTATACAATAATGAGATAACTTAAGTGGCCAGCGATTACTGGCAAGTAACAAAAATACATACAATTATTACATCAATAATCTATAGGATAAATAGTTACAAAAATCACACATACTTACATCAGCTAGTTATATAAGGTACGTTAATTCCCTACTATAACAAGAATAGATTATTAGGGTAAAATCCAGATGTGATGATATACCACAGACACATTATAGAAAAGGCAAAACAATAATCAAATTGACAAGTCAGAGTAATAAAATCAAGTTAAATAATACCATAACTTTCGCTAGTTACTACGCAAACATAACATTTTGTATAAAACTACAAAAAAAAAACCATCGAAGATTTTGAACTATACTTATAATTAGAGCATAAAGAGTATATTATGCAAATAGAAATTAGGAATATGTACACTGACAAATTTAGAACGATAAAAGCCCTGCGAAGATATTTTGTGCAAAGTTCGTCACTCGAGAGTTACTTATCTAACAAAATAAATTAACTAAACCTAAAATAAATAGCCCCTATGGAGCAATCACAGAACTTAGTGGCGGCGAGCGTCCTTCTCCTTCATCAACGATTTTAGTTGCTCCACTTCCGAAGTCAATCTAACAATTTCAGAGTGAAGAGGATGTGATTTGGGCTCTTGGGTATTCTGAGAACTTTTTTGAAGGGATTGTAAGGTAGCCGCAGCCTGTGATGCTGTCCATTCGGCTCCCAAAGATATACCAGAGTCCCTTTCGTCCGAAGAACCTTCTCCATCCCAGGGTGGACTAGCCCTGGAAGGTTCTTGTTTAATATTGTGAAGTTGCAAGAGGGCTGTGGCTGCATCTTTATCTCCTAGATGCGATTTGTGACGGAGTTTTAAAGGTAGACTATTATTAGGTTCAGCAGGTGCGGGTTGGATTGGTGGCCCTTCATCGCCAGAGGTGCTGGAGAGTTCATAGGGTGACGGAGAATCTCTGGGCCTTCTCGCAGAAAGATTTAATACTCCAGGGGAAGGATGTCTGTAAGGCATTTGATATGAGGGATGATATTCTGGATGTTCTCTGAACGCTGGCTCCAAAGGTAAAGGAGCGTGCGACATTGGTTGAGAAGTCAAAGGTTGGTGAATCACTGGAGTAGGGACTGGACTCTGTGGCGCGAAAAGTATAGGTGAAGCTCCGGGATGGGAAACTTTTTGACGCTTTGTGAGACTAAGGACTTGTTCATTAGTCGGGAGACTGGCCAGTACTTTCTCGACGCAAACAACATTTTCTCCGCAGATTCCATATTCTTCTTTAATAGCTTCTAGTTGAGCCCTTAAAATGGCATTTTCTTTGGTAAGCTCAACAACTCTCTGTTCCAAAACCATATCATTAAATCTGCGTTTTTCACGAGACCTTTTAGCTGCCTCGTTGTTTCTTCGTCGTCTGTCCCAATAATTATCATCTTTCTTGTTGTCGGGGGTGAATTCTCTCTGCTTGCGTTGAGAGAAAAGATCCTTGTGTTTCACCGATTGCATGGCATAGGGGTCGGCACCTGGAGTAGTACTAGTGGCCAACATTTCTCTTGACATGGACATTTCTCTTATGTGTCCGTTAGGAAGGCCGGAATTTAATTGGGGGACTTCACCGTTTACTGGAGAACCACTTTGGCCACGTCCAACGAATTCGGCAACCATGATATGTTGCTTTAGCACATCTGAAACAAAAGAAAAAAGGGTTAGTTATACAACAATAAATTATAATTATAGGCAAATTCAAATAAATTCAAATCTCATTGAAAAAAATCCACAATATCCAGCATATATGTTTTATTTTATAACAATAAATGTCTAGGTATTTGCGGTCAAAATAAGTATAATACAAAACAAAGACATGGCGATTCTCCAACAATTTAATAAATTTCCGTGTTTATCATCGCCGTAAGTTTCCGATTTTTGTTTCCGTGAACCGAATGAATCATGTTGCTCGTCGGAAATACCGCTGAGACCAACGGCAAAGCGTCAGTGGTCTTGCTCTAATTTTATTTCTCAATTTGTAACAACAATGATAAATATCGCAAGCAGCAACCTTTCAGTTCAAAATGTGTTTGTTGTCGATTTGTTGTTGCGGAACCGCGAAATTGCGTAACATTGAAACTCAAGAATTGACTTGTCTTGGGCAATATCTCGCCAATTTTATAACCATTATAATAATGCGTCCTATAACGCGTAGGACGCGATCGAGTTTAAATTTATTTAAGTCGTTTGTTTGCGTACCTATCGTGCTGCGATACACGGAAACTAACAAACTATTTAAATTTTTTTGAGGTAGGTCTGTACTGTACAATAAACTCATAAAACGCATTTCACGCAAACCCAATTAGCAGTTAAAGTTTTAGTATTGATATTTCAAATAATATATAATTAATAATTTACAATAAAGGAGGAGTTTTCATCGTAAGCAAAAAATGCCAAAACATTAGTTTACAGTAAATAGTAACTGTCGAACTAGTGGAACATTCTAATAAATTGTTGAAGATATTTCAGGGACTAATTCGTATAGGTAAAATCGATTGTCCGTTATAATATGACATAAGCGAGGCTTTGACACCATTTCAACGTTTAAATGGTTTTTTGGTTCGCATTTGTCGATGCCGTAATATCTAAAGCCCACTCGATTATTCACGCTTCTTTTTTTGCTTGTTGTGTTGTATGTATGGTATTATCTATCAAGTAATTGAACGCGAATCTGACCTAGAAAACAACCTCCAAGACGCAATAAAAAAAAATCATATCCATTGTGTATTTACTTGGCAAATAATGTGTAATGAGGTAATCAACAAAAAGGCTTAAAATAAAATCGTATGCAACGTATGAGTTGACCTAGGTATGATTAATAATAAAATTATTCGATGCCACGCGATGGTTTCGGGAAGGTGAACAACAGGATAGGCGACGTTCTCATATTTTCCACGTATTACTAAAAGCTTCATTTAAAACAGATATTACTGGAAGCGCTTAAATTCAACGAAATTTAGTTTGATGGAAAAATTTAAGATACGTGATGAAATATTATGCAACTAGATCAGATTGAATAAACAAATTCCAAAAAAGGAGCCGATATTATACTATTGTCAATCTGCTTCTATTTTTAGTAGAAAAAATTCATAATATCCTTATGTAAAGAAATTGCTGAAAACATGTCGTTTGAACTCCAGCCTCGTGCTAAAATCACGTTGACCGAGTGTTATTTAAAATTCTTAATGAATGGAAAATAAATTTAACGGTCACGTTTATATGCATTGTCTGCATCTTTTAATCGATTTCCCTGGTACAATAACAAATGTATGTAATATCTTCAATATCAACAAATAGGATTTCTGGCGGTTTAAATAAAGATGTAATCCTTTGTTTGCAGTTTTAGCATGTATATAGGTCGGCAATATACATGAACTAGATCGTGGGCAGCAAAAAAATGAACACTTTGTCCTGAACGATTTTTTTTTAGTTGGATTTCGTTTAGATGGTTAACAGTAATTAAGCTAATTAGGTGATTCAAGTTCACGGGTAAGATGAGTGATAATTTCATCATAAGACCAAGGAAAAATGGTTCAAAAAGAATTATTTTTACTTTCTAGGTTATTATTATAGAAGAACGTGTATTAATTTATGTTTCTTAAAGTTTGTTGCACTGAGGTATTGAACCTTTGTTCTCGTAGGTCAACATTACTTTTTAGTGTCATGCCATGAAACGCGTGTACCGAAAACATTGTAATAACTTTTGGGTTGATCAATTTTAGTTAGTTGATATCTAAACCCCGACCAAATTGTACAAATTTAAAAAAAAAATCTATTCTTGTCAACAAGTAGAGAAATTATCAATGAAAATTGTTAATCATACCAAAATATTTTTGTTGGAAAGTTCTTTATAATTTGTTTTGTTGTACATCTATTACCTTTGAACCCTTAGGTCAGCATACTATTGAATGTCAAATAAAATTAGCATACGAAAATAACGGGTCTTCAAAAAAAACTAAATTAAATTATTGTCACAGTGGAACATTTCGATAGATGAAAGAAAAGAAATAGTGAATAGTTTAAAAAATCATAGACATCTTTGTTAGCCGTTATACATATACTTAAATAAAAGACGAGCATGTGCATTATGCTAAAGATTATCACGAGGTGAACCCTCGGGTGAACCTAAACACTATGAGCCTTATTTGTATTAAAAAAAAATGTAATTGAATTTTAATCATTAACAACGAATGCAGTAAATAAATACTAACCCTCATCTAAGTATTTATCAAACAATATAACTGGTAAAAAGATATTTTCAATTAGACGTTTCCTAAAGTTTGATACACTGCTAGGATAATGCATTACCTTTTTTACGGTAGGTCAACATCACATTCCTAATGTCCAATACAGACTTAACACTAACCAAAATTACCTAGCTCATGCCTATAAACTTAATACTTAAATAAAAGTGCTTCAAAGCCCATCAGTTGCCTTGCGCACTTTATGTTGAAAATGTTTATTGCTTGATGTGTTTTCTGTTTTGGTTAGGATAGGTCCAATTTTTATGACGTGAAAGTCGAGGATCTGACGGGAATAGGATATATTTTTGTTTGAACATTTATTAATAAAAAATATGATTATTTTATTGATTTCTGTAATAGTCACAGGTATATAGTTAATTATTCGAATGATTTATTTACAAGGATAAATTTTCCACAAAAATCAAATCATTATTTGTTGATAAATTAACATCAATCAAGTGCTTTAAGAAACCAGAATCCTTATTTGCCTATAGTAAAAATAAACAGATATCCTAGATTCATATATTTGAGAATCTAGGCTAGTAGAACACAAAGCGCGTCGTATGACCTACAATGGAAAAGCGCGGTTATAGAGATCAGAGAAAAAAAAAACGAACCAAACTGATACGACGCGGTATAAGTATTTACTTATTCAAGTTAAGTATTACATAAGAAAAATAGTCGTCGTTATATCTTAAATAGTGCGCAACTATCTTTTATTCCAAAAACATTTCCGGTAAATACGCGTAGCCTGTTTTCGAGACCCTGCTAGAAATAGTACTCTCGAAAAGCGGTAGGTAGGTACCTATAGGACAAAACAACAAACAACAAACAACTTGTGATTCTATTTTTATAAATGCGCGCTAATAATAATTACTTATTAGAAATGAACCCCTAATAACATTATTAACGTTAATTATTACCTACAACTAATGATTTATTGAAAAATTAATTTCAGCCAATGCTTAATAAGTTATCTATAAAAATGATGTTTCATCCGCGATGATTATTAATATGACTCCTCTACATGAAATTTATTTGTATTACATCATCTACTTTGATCATCTTGTGCAATAATGTAACAATAAAAAAAAATCAAGATGATTAACTTGGAAAATGGCATTGGTGAGTCGCGGCATTTGGCTTTTAAATGAGAACGCAACCGGCATTAAAACATGACATTTGTTTAAGGTCTAATAATTATAACATGCGAAAAATTGCAAATTTCGAATAGCAACTAACTGTAAGCCTTTATTACTAGAGCGTGTCATTTTGTTAACAATAGTCCGCATCATGACATAAAAAAAAAACGGGGCGCGCTAAAATTTCTACTTCACTTCGCACACATTCAAACATTTTTTTTTTATCAATAAATTAAAACACACTCACCAATTGCTCTAAATTCGTTATCGATGCGGGCAGTCCCGCTTTCCGTAGAACTTGGAAAAATCACAATCCAAAACAAAAGTTATCAAAACAAAAACAATGGGTATTATGCGCGTATTAAATGGGCGCGTAAATTGAGCGTCTACTCGAAAGAACGTTTTCGTCTTAACTGAATAGCGAAGGAATCAAGAATAGCGACTAACGGACTAGTGAGCGATCTGACTCAACTCGCGATCGCGAATCATTTGAACAGCTTTTCGCGTCGCGGCGTGGATGTAATGTAGTGGGTTCGAGCAACGTTGCCAATTTTTCGTTTGAGTTTCGCGGCTTTTATAAGCCTGGAGGACCCGTGTTTATTGTTATTCGATGCACTTTAATAATATGTTTTGTCAAATTGCACGGCGGCGCGTAATATATGTTTGCCGATCGGACAAAGACGCTTTTTTAAATCAGATCGGGGCAAGTCGTTTTTTTCGTGGAGATGTCTAGAGTTTATTTACTGCACTCCAATAGCGTTGAGGGTGACTCGCCAGATATTCGATTCAATAACACTCTTTATTAGTCCATAACCTCGCATAACATCCGACACGATAAACAAATAATATTGTTTGGCCTCACTTGTTTACTCTCTATATCATCGAGCTTTATTTTCGCGATATTTTTTTTTTTGCTTATTTTTGTTCTGGCTTTCGTAATTTTAGAACCTTACAACACCACGGTACCGACAGTAAAAACATAAGTATAGTGAATAGCAAATATCCTAATTATATTTTTTCACAGAAAGATACAAGATTTTGAAACAAATTGCACCACTCGTAACCTAAACTTTAAAGATCATATCATTGATGTCCAGCGAAAACCTTGTACTTTGTAACCCAAACTTATCCATTCTTTCAAAATTTTTTCCAGATATATCTTGAGAAACTTAGGAGAAAGTAGATTAAAGTAGATACCCTGTTCTAAGCTTTTTGTAGATCTACATAGAGCAGATTTCCATATGCTGTTTTCTTTTTAATCACTTGTGTTCTACAAAACAGATGCTCCAAAATCGATCTTCCCGCCCTAAAAGCGACGTTGTCTCCTGTTTCCATATCTTTGTACCCGTTCTCAACCATGTTCCTTATAGGTTCCACTCGGCGCAGAAGAAATAACCTCTTATAATTGTCGCACCTGTATTTTTTTCCTTTCCAGTGAATATATAAGAAGTTTTCCATTTTTCTGGTAGGTACCTACCTACTTTATTTCCGTTCAAACTGCTCCACAGGAGTTGACGATATGGATATTTTCTGTGATAAAACATATATTACAATAAATTATTACCAAATAACCGAAGTTAATTTTTCATTTTTCCTTTTCTTTTACGCTTACCGAAAAAAAATGTTGATTTATTCTAATATTTACATTTAAAAAAAATTCTTTGTTTTTTTACAAAGAAAGCTTCATATCCTAAACTCCTGTGGAGCAGTTTATTTCTGGAATAGATTGCGTAAGGGACGAAATAGTTCTTCAGTGGGATATTTATGGCACTAATTTATACCCTCAGAAAGTTTCATCGATATCGGGGAACCAATCATTTTGATCGCATCAAGAGTATCTTCTTCTTCTTCTAAAACTTCTCGCTCTTCTATTACTAGTTTTCCATACTGCTATTGGAAATATAACATCTCTAGAGATGTCTCTTTTCTCAAGATTCTTATAAATCTGCTACTCTCCGTGCTTCTTTCATCTCTATTTTCTCACATCTTCAAATCCATTATTCATTTCTCCGTAATCCCATCATTCTTCTTATTTTTGTTTGTGCATTATTGTAATTCTGTGATTTTTTTTAAGATAATTACGTGTGGTATTATCTTCCCTTATCCTCTATCAATAACATTGTTTGGCCTCACTTGTTTACTCTAAATCATCGAGCTTTATTTTCGCGATATTTTTTTTTTTGCTTATTTTTGTTCTAATGGCTTTGGTAATTTTAGAACCTTACAACACCGCGGTACCGACAGTCAAAACATATAGAAAATAGCGAATATCCTAATTATATTTTCTTACAGAAAGATACAAGATTTTGAAACAAATTGCGCTACTCGTAGCCCAAACTTTCAAGATGATATTTCATCGGTGTCCAAAACTAACCCAAACTAACCCAAACCAATCCGTACTTTTGGAACTTTTTCCAGATATATCTTGAGAATCGTAGGAGAAAAAAGATTTAGATAACCTATCGTAGGCTTTTTTTGTAGATCTACATATAGCAGATGTCTATGCTATTTTCTTTTTGATAACTTGTGTTTTACAGAACAGATGCTCCAAAATCGATCTCCCGGCTCTAAAACCGGCGTTGTTTTCAGTTTCTATAACCTTGTAGCTTTTCTCAACGATGTTCTATTCCATGTTCCGCGTTCCACTAGTCGCTCTGGCCACCAATCACCACAGAAGTAGTGAATATGTAAGAAGTTTTGAATATAAGAAGTGTGCGATATTTATCGCGCTATTTGTAACATCAAAAAGTATCGGCGATATCGGGGAACCAATATCTTCTTCTTCTAACACTGCTCGGTTTTCTTCTGTTAGTAGTTTCCCATTCATATTCTGCTCTAGGTATATCATTACTCTAGAGATGTCTCTATTCTCAAGATTTCCATAACTTTGCAATTCTCCGTACTTCTCTCATTTATATTTGAGTCTATTTTCTTCTAGTCCATGATTCATTTTTCTTTGATCCTATCCTTCTTCCTACTTTTAATTGTGCATTATTGTAATCCTGTGATCTGTTTTTTTTTTTTTAGATAATTACGATCTTTCCTTATCCCATATTTCCCTATCAATCTCTTCATCTTACCTGTATAACTTTCAGGGTTTTCTTCTCACACAGTGCTTTATTTGCGGCTTGGCGAATGCTTGTTTTACCAGTTTCGTTTTCTTCATTTAGGTTTCCACATGACCATGGTCTAAGTTTTCCATTCTTTCATGCAAGTTCTTCACGCAGTCGTGCTCTATCTATGCTTTTCAGATTTATCTACACTTGTCAATCTCTTCTCCCCAATTATCGGAAATAATGACGTCACCAAGCTACCAAAAACTCAGTTCAAATTTGAAACAAACATTGGTGGAAAGGGGACCTAGAAAAACAAGAACTGGTCTCCTTTTTGAACGCTTCTTTGTGAATGGATTTTTTTTTTCACCAAAATGATAGGTTTTTATAGAATTAGTTTACAAGATTAAGATATATTGGATTTTTTTTACTTGGAACAAAACGCATCTTGAAATCATGCTAAAAAATCTATATTAGTAATAAATTTTGTTTAGAGTCATGAGGGGCAGCTTCTTCATACCGTAGTTGAAACCATAACCTACCTGGGAAGGACAATAAATAACTCCTCATTTCTCCAAAAATATTACGATATCTTTTGGTAAAGGTTTCAATACAATCATCTTCACAAGAACTGGTCAAAACATTGATGTAAAACTTGATTTTTTCGATAACATATCTTTAAATCAATTTGTACGGAATCAAATATACTTTTCTTATTGAACTACATAATATTTTTTAAATTATTTCACCTACAGGAAATATACTCAAAGAATTAAATTAGATTTTTTGTTTTCTTCCTGTGTCTTCATTTCTATTTCATTCCTTTGATTTTGTGTGTGACCTTATACGTGCTTTCATTTTTACTGTATTTTTCTCAAAAATATCCTACTGCGATAGATACGATACAGAGATCAACGAAGCATTTTTTTGGAAAAGTTAAAAAATTCTGATCGCAGTTCAAGTCGATCTATATTGTGCAGCTCAGATTTAAAAATTATTCCTTTTTTCCTAGTTAAATAATTCTCCGAACCGGCCAGTGCTCATCATTGAATATCGTAGAACCTCAATGAAGCATGGCGCTTCCATCAAATGTATTTCAATTGACTTCAAAAGTGGAAAAAGTTCCAAGATCCTCCAACGATGTAAACTCTGAATCGTTGTAAGAAGTATGTTCGGCAATATGACATGCATCGTCCATTGTCTAATCTCGAAGATTAAAAACCAGTCGAAGTCATTAACAATGACGGTGTAAATGAACTTTAATTGAAATATTTTGAAATTTTAATTTATGAATTTAATCCCGCTTACCCTTATACTGATAAAACAAATTTTGACAAATAAAAATTAATTGTTATGGCTTATTAATTAATCAGATAACTTTTTGTTGCACTTGTAACAGAGATAAAAACCTAAAAAGCTCATACAAGTTCATCGATATTTGAATTACTTATTTTAATCGAGTTAAACAAATAATTTCCCTATTGTTTTTCGAGACAGGCAATTTTTATAATCCTGTGTAAGGTCAACATTAGAATTTTATTCCAAAAAAACAATACCGCACATCAATGTAAGTTGTTATTTCCAGAAAAATGATTTTGTTTTTGTGTCGAAATTTGAAACTCTCACTGTCCAACCTAGCAAGTCCGTGAGGTACTCAAATTTTGATACTTTGCCAAATTTTGACAATAAAAATCAATCTAAGCGTATCGCCATTATGTAAGTTCTTAAAGAATAAAATTTATGTAGGGCCTTGGCACACATTTAACACTGCAATTTATATAGAGTTACGAACTAGTGTGTTAGGTAATTTTTGCCGAGTTGCGAGGAAATGCAATACTTTGGTTTGTTCATAATTGATAAATTTGTAATACTGCAATTTTGTTTCTATTGTTTCTAGGTTAGTTCGTTTTTAACCATTTGCGTCGTTAGGTGGGTACCTACATATAGATTTAGGTATTTTATTTACATTTATGATCTTATATGATGCTAAGCTGAGATCATAATTTTTATAATTATATTTAATTTGCGAACGTAAATCATGGAATTGATTACAGTGTACATAACCCAACAACTATAATGATTATTGAAAAAAATATTTTTAAAATACTCGGTTTGAAAAGTTTAGGGGCAAAAATAAATAATGTATCGCCTAGGTATCAAATAACTGGGAAAACGGAGGTGGAATGGAGTTTATACATTTTTGAAAAATTCTTTTCGTGATGGTTTATTTATCAGAAGATCGTTGAATTTAATATTTTTAACACCAAAATGTGAGGTAAAATTTTTTTTTGATAGGGTTAAGTTAATTCTTCTTCGACTTTTTTTGACGTTGCAGGCTTTGAGATAATAGGTAGTGAATATCTTAAATGTATTTTTTCAATAAATAGGTACTATGTCTCAAACAACTACTTGCATTCTTCTAAAATTTCAATCAATCAAATCAAAGGGTATTATTACTCAGCAATGGAAACAACTGAACTGAATCTGAATAGTGTAGGTAAAAACTAAAAAACTCCTAGGCCCCCTTTCTCATTTTAGAGGGAGTGGTTCAACGGCGGGGTAAGGTTAAATAAATGAATTAAAAAAAAAAAAGTGT